TTATACAGATCATCAAAGGCTGGAGTTGGAAAAGGAATTCCACTGCAATAGATACATCACCATCCGGAGAAAGTCAGAGCTGGCAGTTAACCTGGACCTTTCTGAGAGACAGGTGAAAATCTGGTTTCAGAATCGCAGAGCCAAGGAGAGAAAGATGATCAAAAAGAAAATCTCCCAGTTTGAGAACAGTGGAGGCTCAGTGCAAAGTGACTCTGGCTCCATCAGCCCTAGGGAACTGCCTAACACTTTTTTCACCACCCCATCTGCAGTTCGTGGATTTCAGCCTATTGAGATACAGCAGATCATAGTTTCTGAATGAAAGAAAGGCAAAAAGAAATGGAAAGTGTCCTTTCTTTATCAGCATCTGTTTGGTCTATAAGATGTCAGCAGGGTAGTTGAGACAGGTGTAATTCCTTATAAGTCAGTATTTTGAACAAGTGGACACACAATGGATTAGAGATTATTCAGAGGACTTTTAGAAACTATTACCAGAAAACTCCTCTTATGTGTTGTGCTATTTGTCAAGTTACTCAGGAAGCTTAGTGGTAAGCTATATAATCAAAAAGTTAGAATCATAAGCCCTTGCAACTCTGTTCAAAATTTCAGAAACTTGCTTATGAACAGAATATATAATACAGTTCTGCCAGGAGGCACATTTTTGTATTTTGTATTGTGTTTGTTATTTGATGCTGAGTGTGTTCTTTTATGCTATTTTAGGGGGTGGGAAGATAGTAAGCAGAAATTTATCTATCCTTAGATACCTTTTTAAGTGTATAATTCAGAAGCTAACAGAGTTGTCATAACCATACAAGATAACTGTTTCAAAAATTGTCAAGAGGTGACTCTGAATCCATCTCACTAGCTAATAAAAATAGCAAATAAAAAAGACCATTTAGTCCCTCAATTATGCTTGTTTGGCATCAGTTACCTTATTTCAGAACTTCCAAATTGTAAAGTCAATTTCAGATCTCATTAAAACAATGAAATCAGACTAAAACAATATAGGCCAGCTTGGCTGAGTCATTAGCAAGGCAGATCTCCAACAAACAGAATAAACCCTCCTGCCCTCCTGTGTTTCTACTCCCATTACTGTCATAGTACAGTGCCAGATTTCCATAAGCACAGGGAAATGAACTGGTCTGTAGCCCCTCCCTGCCATCATCTTTCAATCTGTTCAGTTTTACCCACATCATGTCATATCTACACAGTGTAATTCATGGAGCTGAGTTTACAGGTTATAAACATACCATTAAGATAAGAGATGGAGCTTCAGTGAGCAGGGTTGCCTAGAGTGTTTAGTATGGGTCTAGTGTACTGTTTGCATATCAGAGTGGTCAAAGAATAGGCTCTGAGTCATGTTAAATTAAGATGGTTTAAAGGAAACATTAATTAAAGTAAAAGAAGCAATCAGATCACAACTTTCCTGTCCCTTTCAAGAAGCATCTTCATAGTTCTAAAGAAAATTATAATTTTTGAGGACAACTACCAATCTTGGTTTGAAAGTAAGAAATTTATCTTCCCTCTTCCCTCTCCTTGTGAGAAATCTCAAAAACAGGCTTCACCTTCCATGGCTATTCTTGAGGGTACATCATTTGGTCCTGAAAATTGAGGGGGAGGGGTGGAATACTGGGGATTGAACTCAGGGACACTCAACCACTGAGCCACATCCACAGCCCTATTTTATATTTTATTCAGAGACAGGGTCTCACTCAGTTGCTTAGCACCTTGCTGTGTTGCTGAGGCTGGCTTTGAACCCACAATCCTCTTGTCTCAGCCTCCCAAGCCACTGGGATTACAGGTATGTACCACCACACCCAGCTAGTCCTGAAATTTTTTAAAGGAAGAATATTTCACCTTTGACCTGCCCTTTTGGAATTATATTCTTTACAACACATTTATGAGAAAGGTATCACTTGTCCTATTTTACTGATAAGAAAACATATGTGAGCAATCAGCCACATTCCCAAAGACACAGCAAAGCAATTGTGGATGCTGATGAGAACACCTAGTTACACAGGATTATCTTGCTCAGTCTTAGTGATAGATCCAAATTCAGCATCCATCTTTATTCATGTGGCATCTGATGGTACTATTGAAGTTGCACAGCTCTCCAAACACCAATCAGTGTGTAGTTAGCCCCCAGGAAAGCAGCCTTTGTTTTTAGCTTTCCTATCCTCCCAGTCAGACCATTTAGGGCTTGTATAATGCCTTATATGTATGTAATGGTTTATATTTTCCATAGAAGTTCACACTTTTATATTATTTGGCCCAATACTTTCATGAGATACAGAAGAATTGCTATTCCCATGGAGGGATGGTGAGTACCAAGGATTGAACTCAGGGGCACTCAACCACTGAGCCACATCTCCAGCCCTATTTTGAATTTTATTTAGAGACGGGGTCTCACTGAGTTGCTTAGCACCTCGCTTTTGCTGAGGCTGGCTTTGAACTCATGATCCTCCTGCCTCAGCCTTCTGAGCCGTTGTGATTACAGGCATGCCACTACATCTGGCTGCTATTCCCATTTTGTAGTGTAAGAATCTGGAGACTACAAGAACTTAACTATCTTGCAAATTAACTCACTTCTTTTAGCCCAGGTTTAGATATTGGTGGATGATAATAAGAACAGATCAATTTATTTATTTATTTTTTTAGTTTTCAGTAGACACAACATCTTTATTTTATTTTTATGTGGTGCTGCAGATCGAACCCAGCGCCCCGTGCACACCAGGTGAGCACGCTACCACTTGAGCCACATCCCCAGCCCAGGATAGATCAGTTTAAATCCCTTTCCTCTTAAAAAAAAAAAAATACTAGCCTTCCAGTGAGTTAAACAATCTAGGACTAGACCTCAGGTCCACTGATTTAATGAATATTTATTGAATGCCTACTCTGTGCTAGGTACTATGTTAGGGTTTCTTGACTCCCAGAACAACACACATTCTGCTCTACATCACTGCCTCAAATAAATTCAGAGTGGACTACATAGCATACTCATTGGCTGGCAGACCATCTGAAGTGCTGAACATAGAAAATTAGCATTGAAATGAGTCCTTCCAATCTAGTGGAGAGAGGTTGAGTGTGTTACTTATCTACACACTAAGAACTTAGTTTCCTCATCCCTGATACCTACCCCACAAAAGGTATACATTTGGTTACAGTAGTTGGATTGACCCAGAAGTTATTTTTCCCTGCTGTAAAACTTTTATTTCATAGAGAAGAAACATTTTTCCTATTTTTACAGATTCTCTGCAAACACAACAAAAACCTGGAGGCTTTGATCTTACTAGCAGACTGCAGCCATTTTCTCTAAGAAAACATGTCAGTTCTCTCTCTGAGTCCTAAGAAAAATATACCACCATGATTTTAGGGTGGTATATATTGAAGGTATACAGGGAAAATAAAGCTAACATCAAAGCTCAAAAGCTGCACTTGAAGTAGGTTTCAATAAAGAATATTTCTTTCTTGTAGGTGAGGAGACAAGAATGAAAATATACCAAATGGTTGAGAGTGTTCAGTTAGAATAGTGGGTTTATGGGCTGGGGTTGTAGCTCAGTTGTAGAGTGCTTGCCTTGTATGTGGAAGGCACTGGGTTTGATCCTCAGCACCACATTAAAAAAAAATAAAGTTATTGTGTCCATCTACAACTACATATAGAATAATGAAATTATGAGGGATTTTTTTTCCTTTTCATTACTTCCCAAATTTGTGCAGTTTTGTAGTAGGAAATAAGTGTTTCTTTAAGAAACATGTTTTTTAAGAAACATGTCTCCTGTGTCTTTACCCTTAAGTAATTTGCTAAACTTTAAAAACCTCCTTGAAATGTATTCAAGCATTGTGATCTCCCAGTACCTTTTGTAAGGCCCTTGATCTTATCTAGGAGTTTGTGTGTAGTTGCAAAGAAAGGAGCTGGTTTCTTTTCATAGGAGGAAGAAAACAAGGCCTAAGGAAAGTTATTTTCATTCTTGGCTCAGATCCAGAGAATCTTCTTGGAACATTTCAACACTACCAAGCCAAGTCAAGAAGGGAAGGTAGAGACAGCAAGGTGGGAGGATGGTAAAAGGGAGGAATATATTATAAAAGGGCATAAAGAACTTTTAGGGGGGTGATGGATATGCTTATTATTTTAATTTTGGTGATAGTTTCATGCATGAATACATATGTCAAAACTCATTTAACTTTTGTACTTTCAATAAGTACAGTTTCTTGTACATAGATAATTCTCTTAAGAAAACGGCAAAAAATAAAATGACAGCAGAGTGGTTGCAAACTTGATATTAAAAATGAAGGGAGGGGGCTGGGGCTGTAGCTGTAGCTCAGTAGTAGAGCACTTGCCTAGCATGCGTGAGACACTGGGTTCGATCCTCAGCACCACATAAAAATAAATAAATAAATAAATAAATATAATGAAGATATTGTGTCCATCTACATCTAAAAAATATTTTTAAAAAAGAAGGGAGGGAATCATAGAATTTGATCCAAAGGGATGATCACTTTACATAATTTACATTCAACCCTTTAATCCCTCCATAGGGATCATTTGCTTATATATATTATATTATATATTATATTCATGAATATATAAGCCTAGATATGTGAGTACTGAACTTCAAAGTGATAATGCAAAGCAAATAAGTCCCCTATTACATGTCTTCAGAGACAATATTGTGAATTGATAGTAAAAGTAGATATTTAATGGTATTTAATGTTATGGTATAATAATACTGACTTTGGAAATAAGACCTGAGGTTCTCATTTTACCCAATTTTTCAACTAAATACCTATAATTTTTGGTTAAGCCAGTTAACTAATAAGGATCTCTGTTATTTAACTAGTAAAATCTGGGGATTTGTCTTGACCTTAAAGATTTATTACAGTTCTGATTTTCATATGACATCTTAGGAAGATCCCATATGCTTTTCCCTTTTTCTGTAACTCACACAAAATAACACACACACACACACACACACACACACACACACACACATCTCTTGGTTTCTCAGGGCTTAAAATATCACTGTTGGGAGATTCATTCTTTTGTTCTCAAAAAAATTTTTTTTGGTCTTCCTGAGTTAACCATGGGTGCATGCCCTTTTAGAATCCTCATAACTACATCTATAAAATGTGTATCTTGAGCTTAATCTTACCAATCTCTGAATTTCTAGTCTCTGTATTTCTAATTAAAATATAAACATTACTAGACAAGGAAAGCACTTAAATTATCAGGAATTTCTCTAACCCTTTGCAACCAGAAAAGTCTTAAGTAGGTCTGCTCTAAATGAATCACAAGGAGTACCATAAAAACAGAAAGGAGCCCCTGAGACAAGAGGATACTACAAAACAAGAATCTCAGATTACTTAAACTTTGGAAGTTTGCCTGTAGTTGTGCTTATGTACATATTTCTGTTTCTTCCTTATGAGCAAGGGAAGCAGCCAGGCAAATGTCTTCCAGGGAAAAATTCTCCCTTCTATGCTTCCAGCATAGCTTCTCTAGACTCTCTGGGAATCTGACGGAATAAAAAAAAAAATGTGTAAAATGGTAAAATGGAGACTGTAATGGGCTAAATTTAGGTAGTCCCCTAAAAGACATGTCCACATTTTAATCTCCAAAACTTTTAAATAATAAATGTTAAAAGACTAAATATTTTCTTATGTAATAAAAAGTATGATTAGATTATGATTAGGTTAAAAGACTTGATCTTATCCTTGATTATCTGGGTAGACCCTAAGTGTAATCACATATATCCTTATAAAATTTAGGCAGAAGGATATTTCAAACAGAAAAGGAGGCAATTTAACCTTGGTGGCAATGGAATGGTGTGGACAAAAATTAAGTAATGTCGACAGCCACCAGAAGCTAGAAGAAA